CTGCCAAGCAGGAAACACCATCAGAGCACTCCTGACATATGGTTGTCAAGCCTCTGCTTAAAGACCTCCAAAGAAGGAGACTCCACCACACTCCTTGGCAGCAAATTCCACTGTCGAACAGCTCTTACTGTCAGGAAGTTCTTCCTAATGTTTAGGTGGAATCTTCTTTCTTGTAGTATTCTGTTTTCTCCAGTGACCAATTCTATCTTGGCTTATTTTTTTCCTAATGGCAACAGAACTCCAGCCGCTGCACAGTAATCAGAAGTCAGAAATTGTTGTGCTAAATATCTCACATATACGGTAGTTCAAAAGAGTCCTTAAGAACATGTGAAACATGGGTGAGCATTGCAGTTAAAAAAAATTGTAACTCCAATTTGTTAACCTGCCGGTTGGGTTTAACACTGCTTGGTCCCGCTGAAGCCAGCAAAATTAAAAAGAAATAAATCCAAATAATTAACTTCTAAGCAGTTTGTAGATTTGGCTCTGGGCACATTGGCATTTCTTCCACTCATGCCCATTTTTTTCTTTCTGATAGGCACTTTCAGTTGCTGTGAAGAGGACTGAAAGAGTATTAAATGATAGGAGGTCTAGAGTAAGGCTGCTGCCCTGCCTTCCATCATTGCTCACTTGGGGGACAGGTGAACAGGCAGAGGTACAGCAGGTCCAGGGGACTCCCCAGGTTAGCAGCAGACCCTAGTTATGTGCCCAGCCGTGTTATCCCATGATGCTGCCCTTTCAAAGACCATAGGGCACAATTCCTTCAGATGCATCCACGTCCTCCACCTCACTACCATTATGTTCCAGCCAAGCTGCAATATGGGCTCTGCAGCAAACAGATGGTCATAGTTCAGCTAGCTGGCTGCTACCCACCTCAAAGGGTCAGGGCATGTATGCCAACATTTTAAGCTGTGGCAGCTAGCCTGCCGCTCTCCAGACAACTGTTGGGCTACAACTCCCATCATCCCTGACAGTGGGCCATGGCGGCTGGAGCTGATGGGAACTGGAATGCAGCAACATCTGGAGGACTTTTAGTCACTTTTGGCTTAAGTAATACGCAGTTTGGCTCTAGTCTAGGGTTATCTTCTCCTTTTCCTTTCTCTCCTCTTGTATTCAAATGCACCACAGGGAGAAAGTAGGCCTGCTCATTCTAATCCAGAATAAGGACCCGGCCCAGTTTGGATATAGTTACCCATATTGTATGTGTCACATTTTAGCTGTCCCTTCTTCTAATGTTCTCAATGTGGTTTACATATTTCCCACCCCCTTATATCCTCATAACAAGTATGTGTGATAGGTTAAACCAGTAAGTGAACTAGTCCAAGACCACTTCTGACTCAGGATTGAACCCAGTTCTCCCCAGCCCTAATCAGACACTATAACAACCAAACCATACTAGCTCTGTTATCCCTGGTTAGAACGGTAAAATGTAAATCCAATCTGTAGTTGGGAAGAGGAGGGAGCATGCAATCCTGTGGTCCATTCCAGGTTTTTACTCCCCAATTAACTTTTGAGTTGCACTGCATCTGCACTAGCTTCAAGACACAACTTTTTGGTCAGTGTTATGGAAATCACTAGAGAAAGCGCTAGTAAGTGTTCAGCCTTTAACTGGGCCATGCAGTTGTCAGCCTCGTAGTGTGTCTGCCCTAAGCACAGATTTGATACAGTACCACGCAACATCAGAAATAAAGGTCACACTCTTCCAAAAGGATTGTATTGGTTTGATAGTCTTGTGGTCCTCTTTTTAAATATATATATATTTCCATTTTTGCTACTGATTTAATAATAAAAACTTTTTACTGTGATATTTCTTTTAATTTTAGCCTGGAAGAGTTGTGACACTTATTGAAGATCCTGAGGTATAGTAGATTCTGTTTTTATATACCATTTAGTATATACATTCTTCCGGAAAAACTCAGAAGCATATTTTGATAATACTGTACAGCTGTATTTCTTTAATTCTGAAATACAGAAAAAGTAACATGGGCTGCAATCCTATGCACTTACCTGGGAGCAAGCCCTACAGGACACAGTGGGACTTAGTTCCGAGTAAACATGCATATAATTTTATAGTTAATAAAGCTTACAATTTTTATCCAGAGAAACTCAAGAACTATTTATTTAAGCCCAACCCGTTTCTTCAGATATATGTTCCTTCCCAACAGTACGCAAGACTGTTTAACCAGGGGTAGTCAACCTTTTGGAGCCCATGGGCATATTTGGAAAAATTATAATGGGCAGCATACCCAGGCACACAACATTACTTGCTTGCTCCTGCCTTCTCCACCATCAGTTAGGCCCGAAATAAAGTGTAATTTGCTTGAGAAATGCAGCTGGAGAGGGTTAACCCCTCCCCAGCTACAATCTCCATAAAGATCATCCTGTCTTGAGTTGTAATTATGCTTCAAGTAAGTTTTCCATTGGCTACAGAAGACTTCTTTGAAGCTTAATTGCAATGCAGAGCAGGATGATGAGGGGGCCTGGGAAGACTTGGCGAGCTGTGTGGCAACCACACAGTTTAACTCATTTCCCAGAGGAAGCTAGTTCATATGTCCTTGAAGAGGAGTCTCTTGATTCACACAGGCTGGCCTCTAATAAATCAATTCCTGTGCACTTTTGAAGACTCCTGTTTTCTGTACTTGAGCTTCCATGTAGGCCACACAGGAGGGGACTTCCTCTCCTCTGAAGGCAGCATGGCAAAATAGGCTACTAGCCTCTTAGGAGGCTAGCAAAAAAAAATAAATGCAGGCTACTGACTTTTGTGGCTGCAGTAAACCTAACAGTTTGACACTGCACCAAAAGAAATTATGACCTTCCCTTCTCTCAGTGATTTATGTAGCCACAAGACATTATATTGCAGCCAATGAGCCTCTTTCATCATGGTTGGGACATTATCTCAGCAAGCTGCTGTTAAGTCTGTGATTGCCCTCGGAGGGAGGGAGGGGTGTTTAAACATCTTCCGTGCTCACTGATGAACTTCAAAAAATGCTTCCTTGACCCAAACCTGGCCACGGCTATACAGAAAGGGAAAGAAGGCTTTGGCCTCATCCATCAGCCAAATGAACAAAAGCCACAAACAGCTGTTTAACACCAGCAAGGGAAAGACAGCCCGGCCCACACTAGACACCATTGCCCATATATAGCGTAACTGTCCTGGCTTGGAAGAAGTGATCTCCTCTTCTACAAATAATAAAAATACGGAAAACAAACAAGAATAAAAATGGCCAGTTCACCCTTTATTTTTCTTGTAATGTGTAGCTCTAGCTGTAGATTTCAAAGGGGACTGGGGAGGAGATATGGCAAGATACACTCGCAATATTCAGAGACCACTTTTTTCTCTTGCCTAACCTGCTGGTTATCCAAGGCAGATTCAACACCCCCTCTAAAATGAAAGATACACTTTTGATCCATAATTCCAACACACACTTTAGTAGTTAGGTATACTCTTCATTTTAAACTCTTTCCCCATTCCTAGCATAGCTATCAACTTTTATGCAAGAACTTTGATATCCATACCTCCTGTGAATTTGCATGGTGCTTTAAAGGTATTTTTTGATCATTGCCAATGGCAGAATGCTTTTATTTTTATTACATCTGTTAAAATCTGCTTGGAATACAATGTGAAGAGATGAACAGAAAGGTTCCTTCCCTGTGACTTGCTGAATTAGGTGCAGTGTAGTAGCTATGACTGTAATTCTCTGCACCATGATAAGCCCTGGTGAACACTGTACTACTTATTCCAAGAAAACATGCCTAAGATAGGACAAAAAACAAGGGCCATGAAGTTTCTATTTCAAATTAGTGGTGAGCTTAAACCCCTCTTTCAGTCTATTTTCTGCCCATCTTTCCTCTTGCAATATGAAGGTGAAGGGTGAGCCATTTTACCAGACTATTGCAATGGTTACTGAGATAATGGCTGCATTCACATGTCATACTAAGCCATGGTTACAGTGGCGTAGCGTGTGTTGTCAGCACCCGGGGCAAGGCAAGTAATTTGCGCCGCCTAACCCGTGGATTTTAGTAGGGGCAGAGAGCTGCGAGTGCGAGTGCGCCCCCCCAGATGTTGCGGCCGGTGCGGCCGGCCCCCCCTGCACCCCCCACGCTACGCCACTGCATGGTTAGGACACTGTATGAACCACACAAGCTGTGGGTTTGCATGCTTCCATCCTGCACAGCTAACAGCAAGAATTGGGAAGTTCTTGCTTCCAATTAACTACAACTCCCTGTGTGATTTAAACCAAGAAATGTGGCTGTTGCTAGTCATGGTTAATTTAAACAAACCAGCTTCAGAAACCAAATTCAGAAGTTTGTTTGAAATTAATCATAGCTTAGCTTTTTAAAATAACATGCCTTTATTATCTTAATCAAGTAGGTCTCACCACAACACTCACAGTTTGTATCAACCAGTTTGCTATACAACCATGGTTAATAATAATAATAATAATAATAATAATTTATTATTTATACCCCACCCACCTGGCTGGGTTTCCCCAGCCACTCTTAAGGTTAAGGCAAAGTAAAAGCTTTACTCATCCTCCTGGCCACCAGGTAGGAACACACAAGCCTGGTGTTTGCTGCCACTTGTGCATGCCATGTTAAATCATGGTTTAGTATGTCAAAGGTGTAAAATTCAAAATAGCAGTATTGTTGTTCTTAATATTTTAGCATATTCGTCAATCATAATCATCCTTTTGCAATGTGGATGGTGTTGCATAACCAGCCATTGTTGCTCTCCCCTGGACTTTACCCACTTTCACTGTAGGCAGTGACACCACTCATTTCTAAATGTTAAGAGCAGATTTGAGTGCAACACAGCTTAGAAACTGAAACATGGAACTTTCCATTTGATCGGGAAAAAACTGCTTGAATCTCAGAAAGTTTCCCTGTAATGCTAACACTGAATTGAGATCAATGTAATAGCTGCTATAGACTTAAACCATTTTTTGTAGTTGACAAGGCCAGCAAAATAGAGCATAGTGTCAGCCATTGTGAATTTTCTGTACCTTTCTGGTATGTTTTTTCACACTGCTGTGCAGTTGGGACCCCATTATGCTAACAGACAGATTCCTCTATAAGCAAAGAATAGTTCAGCTTGTGTGTGTTTTCTCCCTCTACTGTATTTGTCCTGGTAAAACAAACTAATTCAGATCAATGCAAATAACAACTTTTATATCTATAGTCTGTAAACAATCTTCAATTATTAGTGTACCACTAAAAGTGCAGGAAAAATAAGAATAAAACTTCTAACTAGCAATTTTCTTATTTCATTTTAAATATCACTACACTAGCACAATCAGACCTGTTTCAACAGTACAGTACTTACAGGGTTACATGTTAGCTTAAGCAGGGTGAAAAAGCAAGACAAGTCTGGAAAAAAACAAGGAAGGGGGATTTCCTAATATTTAACAGAGTTACTAACCACACACCAGATAAACATAACATTGACTAAGTCACTTTTAAACACAGGTCTCTTTTAGGCCAGGACTAGATAGTACATGGCAATAGCTCAGTGTGGTGTAGTGCTGGATTATGGCTGCAGAGACCAGGTGCAAGTTCCCTCCCAGCCATGAAACTCACTGGGGGGCCTTGAGCCAGTTGCTGCCTCTCAGCCTAATCTACCGCACAGGGTTGTTGTTAGGATAGAATGCAGAGGGAGAGAGCTATGCACGCCACCTTGAACTCTTTGGAGGAAAGGTATAATATAAACATAATAATGAATAAATCTTTGCCAGGTAATACCTTCCTTCTGGTAGCTTTCCCCCCTGATATAAGCCTGTGTGGGAGGAAAAACAGGATAAAGAGAGGGGTGTAGGCTCTCCATTTTCCCCTACAAATACCCGACATGTCGTCACCAGGATTACCCAGGAAATACGGATTTTGGAACATGTAGTTTTAACTTTTACACCTATTTCCTGGACATTTCATGAAGGAGACATCGCATGTCTGCACTATGGATATAAACTCATCTGAAAACCTTTCAAGCAGGGATGTGACCCTCCAGATATTGTTGTTGCACTCTAACTCCCATCAGCCCCAAGAAGGATGCCAGGGGACAATGGGAGTTGTAGTCACACAACATGCAGAGGGCCAGATTCCCCATCCCTGATTTAAATTGCTTCCTTTTGCACCATTAAAGTGAAGTATGTTTTACCTTCCTGGTTGTGTTCTTCAACAGGGCTGTGTATGGGGTGTTGCATACAAACTGCCACCAGGACAAGAAGGCGAAGTAAAAGCATATCTTGATTTCCGAGAGAAAGGTGGCTACAGGACTACAACTGTCATTTTCTATCCGAAAGATCCCTCAGTGGAGCCCTTTGATGTGCTGTTATATATCGGAACCTGCGAAAACCCCAACTACCTTGGACCAGCACCTCTAGAAGAAATTGCCAAACAGATTTTTAATGCAGTTGGTCCCAGTGGAAGAAACACAGAATACCTGTTTGAACTCTGCAACTCCCTCAGGGATCTCGTGCCAGAAGATGTAGATGAACATCTTTTTACTTTAGAGAAACTAGTAAAGAAACTCTTAGAACAGGAAGAAAGCAAAAATGTCAATTCCATATAATAATCACCTTGTGGTTTCAAACAGTCTCTTCATCATCAGGAGAACGGTTTCACTGATGACAGTAGTATGATTTCAAGATGCTCCATGTGGACTTTGAATATATTAATTTTCATGTTTCATTCAGGGCGCTACTGTCATTGATCAGTAGAAAATTATGTTTAAAGCTATGTCTTCAGGAGTTTAAGGGAGGAGGAGCTTTGAATTTTGGTAAAATTTTAAAGAATGCATTTCTCTCAGTTTCTCAGATATGAAGAAATAATTTATGCCCAATTTAAGTTTGAGGGAAATTTTTATTGATTTCAAGTTATTTAGATTTTTCTTCCTTTTAAAAAAGATAGTTTGGGACTAGATCCTGCACTCAGACAGACTATGGATGCAATCCTATACATATGTGCTCAGGAGCAAGTCTCCTTAAACCAGGCATGGCCAAACTTGGCCCCCCAGATGTTTTGGGACTACAACTCCCATCATCCCTAGCTAACAGGACCAGTGGTCAGGGATGATGGGGATTGTAGTCCGAAAACATTTGGAGGGCCAGGTTTGGCCATGCCTGCCTTAAACAAAGTTAGACCTGCTTTTGGGAGTAAACTTACATAGGATTGAGCTGTATGTGTTACATTAGACCTCAACTACACTTATTTAAGAGCAATCCCAGTGGGACCAGTCTATAATGGTTTGTGGATTATAGCACTGACATGGAAATCCTATGTACACTTACTTGGGAATAAGTCCCATGGAAGTTCAACTGATTTCAAAGTAAACTTCATAGGATTGCACTGTAAGCAGCAGTTATTCCTATGCAAAGACTAGGATATTTTAAAAACAACTCACTACAGGATATTTTTCATTTCGTTCATGAGTCAGCAGTTAGTTTATATATAAACTACCTGCCTTTTGATAAAATGAGCAAATATTTGCATGAGAAGGAAACTGCACTTTCCTTTTAGGATGTAGGAAGCAATGTGTAACTCAAAACATATTGGTGCCTTATATTTTCATCACAATACCTTTTTAAAAACAAGTTAGGGATATGACTTGAATTTACAATAGCAAGAATGTTCAGAAACTCCCATACTTAATCACTAGGCGTAGTATTTTCACAACTATCCTATGGCTAAGTGCACACACAACAGTGTGCAAGAATTCCCCCCCCCCAGGTCTATCTTGGGTCTGGTCACTTGTCAGCTTAATCACAGATTTGTATTACATATTTATCAACACTAAATTATCATTAACACTAACTATACCTTCTCCAAACCAGGATTTGCAATCCCCTATTAATATGGGAACCTTAGGCAACTATTGGTGCAGATTTAATGCTGAACTATGGTAAAAAGCAAACAGGTGGGAGAAGTGCAGAAGCTCACAGCTCACTCCCAATCCATTATCCATAGGTAAGAGATCAGCAGTGTTATGTCTGCACTAGACCAAAGACTTCAAAGGGAACACTGCAGAATAAACTCTTTGAAGATTGCAGGTTACTAGTAAACTGATTTTCAGCAGCACTTACTCTCAAGTCAGTGGCAAGGATTTAAAGATCTGTTCTTTGCAGCCTGTGGTGCTTTGTACTTACATTTCTTAACGAGCACCCCACCCACCCCTATGGTGCATGACAAAACACTTCTGAAACTGGGTGAAGTTTCAAAAGTATTTTTAACATGTCATGGGGGATTGGTTTCAGAGCCAAAGTCAAAATTCCCACTGGGTAAGCACAGGTAGACTGTTGGGGTAGCCTAAAGTACCTCTTTGCATACAGACTATTACGTTTGGGATTGAGATCCAACTTGCATAGCAGGTTAATCTCAGCCATCATTTAGGCACTTCTGAAACTTCTACTCCATTTGCCATCCTTTGTCTGCACAACTTCCACCCAAATGGATGGGCGCTGTGTTAACTTTTCTAAGGGATAAATGATGGCCTCATTATTGCAATAGATTCGCAAAGGAGTTTCCGTCCCAACTGTGAATTTCCTTGCTTCTCATAGTTTAAGTTATTTTCTTTAAGCCTTCAACAGAAGCATATTTTTGTATTTTAATATATATATAGATATAAAGGTTCTCTTCCAAGTGTCAAGTGCTATTCCATTTTCTCATAACAAAATGTGATTCTGTATTTCTTTCCACTGTTCATACTGAAGCCTGTATGACTTTGCATCAGTAACAGAACAATTATTTATGTTTTGTGTCCATAAACCATCTCTCTTCCTTTTTATTAGTTGCTTGTAAAATGTTCCATTGCATTCCTTTGTGTGTGTGAGAGAGAAAAGAATGTAACACCTGTTCAATAGACTGAGAAAAATATTTTTGTTGGGGAATTGTTCTTAATGAGAACTATCTTACTACAGACCATAAATGGCTTCTTCAAACTACATGAAAAAAATTGCTTACAGATTATGTAAGGATGATGGCAGATAACCACTCCAGTCATTATAAAAGCATTTACACAAGAAGGTATTATAGGTTAGTCTTTACCCACTAAGGCTACAATCTCTTCCACTTACATCAATGGGATTTTACCACTGATTTCTATAAAATGAGGACTTTATCCTAATACAGTATCTTTCACCATGGTCCAGCAAACAATTAAACCAGCAGTATATATCCTAAGAAGCTTCTAAAGTAGCAAACACCATGCTACTATTATTTTTTTCCCTAGCTGAAGGAGTTTTAAAAGCAGTTTGTGGTATGGTGCGGGGGTCTCCTGTTCAAAAGGGGTGGGATAAAAAATTTCATTAGGTGCACTGATTATAGGTGTTTGGATCAGCTCCAAAGAGTGTTTTCATGAATCAGATACAGAAGAAATGACTCGATGAGCTTCCATGCTTGTGTGAATGAGCCATCACAGACCTTGGCATCAGAGACAGAACTTTCATATTCTCTGATGCCATTTCAATTTGCAATACTTTTGAGCCGATTTCTCACATACTACAGCAGTCAAGAATTAAATAGTCAAGTTTAATCTTCAGTGAGGCTCCCATACAAAGTGATTATCTAAATGCACCATTAGCAATTGGGCGCAAGCACAGAATGTCACATGAAAAACATCCTAAGTGGTCAGTCCTAAAACACTCTGCCAAGTCAGTCATTCCCCCTGAAATCAAGGGGTGTCTGCATCTCAATAAACATGATTTGAATCAGGTGCATTGTATTTTCATGGATCCAGAATCACAATGCATGGTATATTATTTTTATCACACACAGTATAGTTCAGAAGCAACTGAATTCCTATCCACAATCTTAGATCACTATAAAACTTACAAGACACACTATGGGAGCAGCAATTTTTATTATATGTCTCAGAAGAACAGCAGACCTAACATATCAAGCACAGTGTATTTCTTTCTCTTCTGTTGAAGAATCGAGTTGTAAGAAAAGAGTCCCTACCTGCTTTGACACACACAAATGTTAAGTTAACATATGTCACCTTCAACAGTCACCGGCAACCTCCAGGGAATCTGAAATAAAGCACAGAAAAGATTGCATGAGCGGAGATAAACGTTTGCTTGAATTACTGTGCACAGATGGTCAGAAGGGAAATCCAGCCGATATAATATGCCCCTAATTATAGCTGAGCCAATTCACAGGGTGCGATTGCATATATTTGCATCTCCCTTGGCTTCTTTTGGACTTTTGTGGCTGCATGTCTTCCATCCAGGATTCTGCTTAAGGGGGGAAATAATTGAGTCTGCAGGAACGGGCTAACTTGCTGCTTGCCATACTTCACCCTGACAGGAAAGAGGGAAAAAGCAGACATTTCTGCTCCTGTGCAAGCTATGCACCATAATGCTGACCTGCCGCAAGACCCCCAAATCTGCCTTTCTGGGGAAGCAGCCAAGTTCCACTTATATGGGAACGCTATTCCCTTCCACAAAACGCTGTGAAACAACCAGAAGGGAAGGAATTCAAGACATACATGATCCCTTGTAATCTTTTCTTTTCATGGCAAGGCGATTTGTATGTTCTTCCAAGGGGAAATACGACCCGTGTGACATCGACAC